TGAGCCTTTGAAAGCGCGCCTAGCTCCATCTGCTGCACCTTCTACAACAAACAATTCACACTCATTATTGAAGTTCTCTGCTCGAGGTCCTTCACCGTCACCTTTCAGCTGAGCTCATCTACACCGTCCAAGCCATCTTGCTTCAGGACTTTTACTAATGTTAAAAGCTAAGGCTATATATATAAACAAAATCATTATTATTAATTTTAATTGTTCAAATATATAAATTAGGGATGACAAGGAAAACTATAGACCTATAACTTCAAACATCAATAAAATTGGTAATTAATTATATTTTTGAATAATCACTTGAATTTTATTATTAATTATTAGTAAATGGGAAATTATGGGGTGCTTTTAAAGAGTTGATTTTAATGCTATAAGTAGCATGAATTGAGGGCGATAAAATGCACATATCCATGAATTGAGGGTGATAAAATGCACATATCAAATATAATTGATTGAAGGGTGGGAGAAGCAGTAGAAAATGAACTTTGGGGAGTAGTTCAATTTAAAAAAAAAAAATCAGTGTATAATTATTTTTTTTTTCTAACTATTTTACTTATAAACAGATCGAAAGTAATTTTAAAATCATTAATTTGTGCCCCCACTAAAAAAAATTTCTGGCTCCGCCCCTAGTTGTAAGTAGACATCACCCAAAAAGGAAAAACGAGAAAAGATCAATCAGCACAATCTTCTTGCAAAAATAGTAGGCTAACCTACAAGTATAAAAAAACCTAGAGCCTGCGATCTTCCTGCAAAAAATGCCAAGCCAATTATCCAGCCTTCAAATCTACACAATTAAGAAACTCCAACACAAAGGGGTAATGTGACAAGGAGGATGGAACCAGTAAAGATAAAGGTAAAAGATCAAACAGTTCTTATTAATAAAATGAGATAAGTATTGTTATTTAATTTTGTTTATTTATGTAAACAGTAAAAAGCATATTAGTGAACAGTAAAATGGCAGTTCACTGCGCTTTTAATATTCACAGAGACAAATCGAATGGTTATTTCAGTCTGGTGTCCGCACAGAATAATTTCTAAGGTTCACAAGAGTAATAACCACCAAATCTTGCTCCCAACCTAATAAGAACCACCCAATTGTTGATCCTCTAAGACTGACTCATGTGACACATTAATAATTTAATTATAATAAAATATATGTTATGTTATCTAATAATTAGTTAGATACATTATAAGTGTTCATCTAAGTATAATAACCGTAATGATGATAGTATTTCACTAAGCAAGCTTGAAGCATTTATCACTTAGATGATGACATTCAAATTGATCATTGAATTGAGAATTCAAGTGGATTAAAACATTAAGTAAAGAATTTCGAGTTTAGATATTATTTAGTTTAGGTATTTTTAGGTTTCATTTTATTGATTGAATAGATTGTTACCAAGCCTTATGAAAGATCAACACAACCATCAAATGTTTAAATAAAGTTAAAATATATTTTATATAACATAAAAATATTTAATAATTTTTGGAACTCATGTGAATTTTGATCTATTTTCAACTCAAGTTCTCAAATGATAAATCTCCTTTTAAATGCCTAAACATTTTATAAAATAAACTTTCAATACCCAAAATATATTTAACTTTTGCTAGCTCAAGCTTCATAAATAACCTAACTCATTTTTACCATTATTTTAATTTTTTAAAATAAATTCTATGATTAATTAAATTAAAAAATAGAAATTTAATTTATACAATCAAAATTGGGTCTTCATTTTATCATCATTAAATCCAAAACATATTTGGATGTTATAAAATCATATATAATATAAAATACCTTTATTTTAAATCATCCAAAAATGCATTAATTGCAAACTTCTCTATATTTACACCCTTTGCCATTGGCTAGAGGCCACAATTTATTTTAGTAATGAATCAAGTTCGATGAGTTATACTAGGACCCAAACAACTTTAAGAAAATGGTGCATGGGCACCTGTTTTAACCTGTTAAGGACCTTATCATACCCATAAAGAATTCATTTTCACAATATTAACTCGAAAACCAGTGTGTAATTTTAGAAGACATATCAACAATATTGATAATGGAGCAGACATTGCATTTGTTTTACAGTAAGCTTAACACAAAATCCCTTCAACTCAATATTATAATTCATTTCCTCCAAAGTTTTCACTCAGAGAATGTCATCATAACCTAACACCAAGCTTCATCAACACTAATCATCTTTCATTTATACATAAGGTTTATAAAGATATTTATGACCTCAAACAAACTCCATATTCATGGTATCATGAACTATGGTAATTTTATATTACTTTTAACTTCATTAACTCTCTAGCTTTTACATCCTTTTTTATTCATAATATACATGATATAATTATTATATTTATGGCATCATTATCATAGATAACTCTAACATTGTCTTGCAATACGTTCTCAGTCTTCTTGCCTACTGATCCTCTATCAAGGATACACAAGACTATTTTTCTTGTAAGGAAGCTATCAATCTTCACCATCATAGACTTCTCTTATTTCAACATCAATACATCTGTAATCTCCTTGCTTGTGTTAAGATGATTAATTCCAGTCCCAAAATTGTATTGCTTGGTTCCTCCCTAGCACTCAATTTTTGTTCAAGTTCTACGCTAAAAAAATTTAACTAATTATAGATCTATTACATCATAAATAGCCTTCGTGATTACCAAACTATATTTATTCATGCACCACCCCACCATTGATCACTAGACTATATCTAAATGATCACTGCACTTTTCATTAAATATTGCTCTATTGCCACCATAGATATTAGATTAAGGTTTCGTTTGGGACGACTGTCTTCCTGGTTCTTAAAACTGCTTTTTAGCATAAAAATTTTAAATTTTGTACTAAAAAATTGCTTTAAGAAACAGGTAGAAAGTCATCCCAAACGAAGCCTAAGCTTCATGGAGTTTGTAAGTTTGTTCCCTAGTTATTGAATTCCGCATTCACCTTCCTTAGGCTCTGAATCATTTATTTTGATAATATATATGTCACTCATGGCGTTATGAATACAATCTTTCACTTATAGATGCTGAAAGTGGTTATTTATTAACATTTTATTCAAAAGCAAGTCTATAGACTATAGTGATGTACTTCATGTGGTTTATAGAGCATCTAAATATCAACTAGTGGATGCTTTGACCAAACTCCTTTTGTGCAAACATTTTTATAATTGGATCTCCATCCAAGGGGTGCAAACGAGTCGAGTCAAGCTTGAGTTATGTCTAATTAACTTGAGCTCGACTCACAAGCAAAATTTTGAGCTCGAACTCGAGTCGAGCTCAAAAAACGAGCTCAAGCTCAACTCGTAACACTGAAATGAGCTCATCAAGTGACTCAAATCCATATTTGAGCCCACCTTCCACATTCGAGCTCGCGTCTACGTCAACCCCACCATTCCACATGTGATCCCGTGTTCGCATCCGAGTCTGAGTCTGATCTGCGATCCCGCATCCGCTTTCGCTCTGTCATTTCGCCTGTGATCCCACATGCGTGTCTAAGTCCGAGTACGGCCCGCGATCCTGCGTCCATGTCTGAACCCGCCCTAATGAGCTGCTCGACAAGTAATAGAGCCGAGCTTCCTTAAGGTTATCAGATTTTAGCTTAATAATCAAATTAAACTCGAAACTCGATAAGCTCGACTCGCGAGCTCTTTAACAAGTCGAGTTCCAGCCGACTCACAAGTTGGCTTGACTCGGTTGCAGCCCCACTCCATCCTAATAGGGCATGTAAATTAAGAAATGTCTAAATTAATGCAATTATTTAATTCCCTCATTTAATATGTTATCATATTTATTTTATTTCATTCCAAAATTTCCACAAATATTTAAAATGGGGAACCTCCCTTTTTTTAATTTTATACACCTCTATATATATTTAATAATTCATAAAATATTATTTTAATAAGTCAAAATTTTCTACACATTTGTGGTAGATAATCACTCATCATAGCAGATTAGTGATGGGCATTATAATCTTCTGCACACATGCATTTTTTAAAATCAATTAATTTGTGATTATTGAAACAATCGTTCTTATATTGCAACACTTTGAAGATGAATACACTTTTGTAGGGGGTTAAGTTGTAATACACTCATCCATATCATAAATTCATTGTTTTTTTTCTTTTTCTCAAGAAATAAAATAAAAATAAAATACCGAGGGGAGCTATTAGCCTATTATTCTGTGCGGATACCAGACGTCCGGTTAAGCGTTGGGTACCCACGCGTTGGGTACCCAGCGTGGGTACCCAGCTCAGTACCGAGGGGTACCCAGCTCGGTAATGAGCAATGGGATGATGTGACACATTTTTATTGATCTCCGGATGACGTTCGGACTCCGCACAAAATAATAAATCTATTTATGGACCTTTTTAATCATTTGCTCACACCTTAACTGCATGCTTTTGCTCTTGCTAGTTTAGATTTTTTTGGCTCTTCTTTGTGTTATATTTTTTTCCTTCTCATTTATGATACGAGCGAAGCTCCAAAATTTTTCAAAAAAAAAAAGTCATTATTGGAATCTAGAAGCCCAAGCGTAACTACTCGCTACCCTGCAACCAGTTTCCTAAGCCAAACGCCGTTCCAGCCTCTCCTACTATAAATAGCAACGAATACCTCGATTCCCTTCAGTCGGCGTCTCTGCCGCTCCGCCTTCTCCCCAAAATAGCCCAAAAATAGTATATACCCCTTCCCTTCTCTAGCAATTTTAACCTTCGGCCATGCTTTCTCCCCCGTCTTTCTCTCCCTCCCTTCCAACTCTCCAACTCCATACCTTCTCCTCCCTTATACCCCTCCCCACCACCCATCCTACCCCGCTCCCCTTTCTCGCCCTTATCTCCCCCCTTCCTTTTCCCCCACTCCGGCGGCGGCAGGACAACTATGGCCCTTTCCTCCCTCCTCCTCCACATCCTCCTCCTCCTCTCCCTCCA